CAGCCCGAGGCGGGGCGGTGGGAAGGGCCGCCTGGGGGCCGTGGAGCGCGGATCGCTGCCCAGCCGGAACCCCCGTTGGCCTCCCGGCTCTCCGCGAAGGAGCCGCCGGCGCGGCACGGGGGTCGCCGCCTCCCGCTTTGCCCCCCCCCCCGGGCGCGGCAGGGAAGCGGGGAGGAGGACGTTGCAGACCCCCCCCCGTCCCTCTGCTGCCCCCGAAGAAAGGGAAGCGGTCGAGGGGTCCGGCTATGGAGGAGAGGCTGCCCCCCCCCACCCACCCACCCCGCTAAGCGCCCCGTCTCACTTGCCGGCAGCGGAGGAAAGGGGGGGGTCGGAGGGGATTCCCGGAGGGGGGGGTCTCTCCTGACAACGGCCGGCCAAGGTGGGGGCAGGGAGTGCGCCTTGAAGAGCCCCCCCCTCCCTCCCCGTCCTGGGAAACAACGGCGAGAAGGGCGGGGCTGCGCCGGATTCCTTGGCTTGCGAAAGAGCGGATCGAGAGGGATCGAGTCCGGTCTGGGCGCCTTCGGTGGAATTTGGACTGGAGACAGGCAGCGGCCTTAAGCGGAGGAGATAAGGATGGGGTGGGGAAAATACAGCCGGCCCCAGCTCAGAGAGCCAGCGGATGTGTTCGTTTATTTCAATTCGTTCGTACAGCTCCCATTTCATAAAGATGAAATGCAGGTAAAACCGAAAACGGGCCCCTATAAAGAAGTTTAAAACAAGGCCTAGTCCAGGGGTAGGCAACCTGGGCTCTTTTATGACTCGTGGACTTCAACTCCCAGAATTCCTGAGCCAGCATGGGGGAACTATGGCCCCTTCATGACTCGTGGACTTCAACTCCCAGAATTCCTGAGCCAGCATGGGGGAACTATGGCCCCCTCATGACTCGTGGACTCCAACTCCCAGAATTCCTGAGCCAGCATGGGGGAACTATAGCCCCCTTCATGACTCGTGGACTTCAACTCCCAGAATTCCTGAGCCAGCATGGGGAAAACTATGGCCCCCTCATGACTCATGGACTTCAACTCCCAGAATTCCTGAGCCAGCATG